GCCCCGCCCCGCCCCGCCCCTCCAGTGAGGCAAAGCCCCGCAGGCGGCTCCGAGCCCCGCGCCCCGCCAGCCTCCGCCCAGGGTGGCCGTCCAGCCGCCCCAGCAGCCCCAGCGGCCCCAGCGCGTGGGGACCCTGGAGCCCAGACTTCCCGGCAGGGCCCTCCTGCCGAGAACCGCGGTCCGGCCGGCCAAAGCGTTGCGAGCACTCACACGCCGGCCTTCGGGATGCAGTCTAGGAGAGCGCGGCAGGGCAGACACAGTCAGCGGGCTGGCGGGGCCGCCGGGGTTTACCGGAACCTGGGGAGGCAGGGGGCGGGGCCTATATTAGCCCCGCCCACCAGGCCCCCCCAGCCCGGGCAGCCTCTCGCGGCTTGCGGACGGATTAAAGGTAAACCAAATCAGCCTACTTACCGAAAGTTCAAAACTTATTTTCATCATTAAAATTAAATGCCTTCCTGGCAAGCGCAGGGTCCTGAGTTCAATCCCCGGTACCGAAAAAAAAAAAAAAAATTAAGTGCCTTAAGTAAATTCTTGCTGCACCAAAGTAAATTCTTAAAAGCTAAAAGAATTGAAATATTTGAGGAAACCTATTCCGCATCAGAATCGAGAAAAACCACAAAATAGTAAAACTTTAGAGGGTGTTCACTGTGTGTATTCCCAAGGATCATTTTACAACCTTAATTTCATTTAATCCTCATAATACTTATGTGACATGTCTAATACCCTTAACTGTATTTTATAAATAAGAAAACTACGATTGGGTAACAGGTAATTTGATAACTAATTGGTTTCCTCACAGGCACCACTACTACTAACTGCAATTACAAAACGTCCAGCTTACGTGGGCTAGTGGTGCGCGCCTATAATCTCTGCACACTGGAAAACTGAGGCAGGGGATCTCGCAACTGTAATTTAGAATTAAAAAAAAAAAAAAGAACCTCTCAAAAAAAACAAATTAAAAGGGCCGAAGCTGGGGAGACAGCTCAGCGGCATAAGCACCTGCCTGGCAAGCACCAAGTCCTGAGTTCGGTCCCTAGTACCTCAAAAAATAAAATAAAATAAAAATAAAAATAAAATAAAATAAAATAAAATAAATAAAATAAAATAGGGCTGAGTTGAGTCTCCAGTACTGCCCAAGGCAAACACACACACACACACACACACACACACAGACTTCATATTCACACGCATGCACACAAACACAGCTCTAGATTGTTTTGGTATTTATCCAAAAAGTAGAGGATGTTGCTACTCTTGATTGCTTAAAAATTAAATTTCTACCTAAGAACATAAAAACAAAATCCATAACCAAACACAATGGAAACCATATTTTCCACCAACTCATAATACTTAAAAGGGTTAGTACCTTAAGTTCACTTAAATTGATGGGGTAGCAAGAAGTTCCTAATAGAAAAAAATGGGCGAAATGATAATTATTAAATCATAGATGAGATAGAAAATGAAACAAGAGAAGAAATACAAACATTCCTAAGTAAAAACCCTCACTCAATCCGAAAAAGTGCAAACTGAGCATTTTAGAAATTGTATTGGGGGAAAAAAAATGGTATCACTGCGAGTCAGGAGTCACTCAGTCATTGAACACTCTAAGCTCTACTATGGGTGAAATGTGCTAGACTCATGAGAAATTGATGAGCAAGACAGACAGGAGGTTCTGTGCTAGAGAAAGAACAAACAATAAGTTATTAAAGACAAAAGAGATGGCAGAAGACAGCAGGTGCCATGAAGAAAGTAACACCAGGGGCTGTGATGGACGACTTGAGGATAATGAATACTTAGATTGGAAAACAAGGAAGGCTTTTCGCCCTAACATGGTGTCACTTGACCTGAGACTGAAAAATAAAGAGGAGACAGTCATCATAAGATGTGGGACATAGGAAAGATAACAGAGGAAAAGGTACCAAATTACAAGCACAGAAACCCAGCCTGCGTGGATGCAATACAGTAGAGAGGTGTGCTGATTACTACAGACTGCTGGTAATTTAGATTTTTTTAGATTTTTATCAGTACACATCTGCAGTACATAATGACCACATTCATCATGGGGAGTTGGTTCACGTTACGTAACACATTCTCTTCTCATTCCTCCTCCTTTCCAAGATCGCTAGTTTTGTCAGGCCCAGTGGTACATGCCTGTGACCTGCGAGACCACGGCTGGGGACTGCAAGTTGGAACCTAGCCTATGCGATGCAGCAAGACCCTGTCTCAAAAGAACATAAAAGGGGCTGGAGTGTATCTCTGAGGGAAGGCTTTGGGTTCAATACCCCCCATACACACACACACACACACACACACACACACACACACTGCTGTTTATCTTTTAAATTCTGGTTTTATATTCAAACAAAAATCCTTAAGCACCACTAACTTAATTGCAAGTTTCAAAATTTCCACAACTCATAGTATCCGTACCTAAACTTCAAGACTTTTGTCTCCACTAAAGCAGGGAAAATAAACAAGGGGATAGTTTCTATATTTAGTATCCCCCCCAAAAAATAGTAATGTACTACTTGAATACATAAAGTTATAGGTATTTATTATGCCGATTCATTCTCCCAAGCTTTCTAAATTTCATTCTGTTTGTTCTCATCTATTTGCTTCCTAATTCATCATGTATCAAGCACATTAGGTTCTAGAAATTAAAAATAAAAATTGTATTTCGTACTAAGTAGGAAGTTAAATGCATGCTAGATTGAATGAGATGCTCACAAAATCCCTGCGTGTTATAACTTGTGGGCTGGTGCTGCACCATCCCTTTGATTTTTGCTTTTTGCAGTCCTAGTTTTTAAACTCTGGAGTGCCCCACGGCTTAGTGCTCAGACCTGACTTTTTCTTTCTTTGTTCCCATCTTTTGTTAGCTCAAGTCTCACAGCTTTGAATTTCATCTACATTTCTTCGATTTTTATTTTTACTCATATATGTTTGCAATAGATAATGATTACATTCTTCGTGGGAATGCAATGTTGGTACATTTATATAACACATATCTCATTTTAAATCACCTTCTCCTACCGAGCCTCCCTTCTTCCTCTTTCTCTTAAGCTCTTCCCCACTTGCAAAAGATCTATTTCCTAGCATTTTCTTTTTTGCTCTTTATTTATTGAGCCTCTCATGAGAGAAATCGTGATATTTAGGCTTGAGTATCTGACTTATTTCACTTAACATTATAGTCTCTAGAAGTATCCATTTCTTATAAATGACTCAAATTTATCTTTCTTTGTAGCAGAGTAGAACTCCATTGTGCCTAAATACCACATTTTCTTTATCCATGTATCTATTAATGGAAATGTGGACTGGCTTCAAGATTTAGCTATTATGAATTTCAATGTTATAAACACAGATATACATTCATCACTGTGAAATGATGTCTTTAACTGTTCCAAGAAAGATACCCAGAAAAAGGAAAGCTGGCTCAAATGGAATTTCTGTTTTTGGTTTTTTTGAAGCATCTCCACACTGATTTCTACAATGGTTGTTCTAGTTTACATTCCCATCCACAATGTAGAAAGTTTTCTTTTCCCCTGCAGCCTGTCCAGCATTTATTATTGGTTTATTTCTTGATGGTAGCCATTCGTTTTGGAGTAAGATAGAATCTCAATATTGTTTTGCATTTCTGTAATAGCCAGAGATATTGAACATTTTCCATACTTATTGGACATTTCATCTATATTCTTTTTTATGTATTTGACATAGGGCCTCACTATACAGCTCAGACTCATAGAGATTCTTCTGTTTTGAGCCTCCCCAGTACTGGGAAGGTGTGCACCACCATGCCTGGATTTGCTCACAGGCTCAGCGTGCCCAGGGGCGGGGTCAGTGCAGCATGTGGTGCCAGGGATCAAATCCCAGTTCTTGTGCTTACCTAAGCAGGCGCTTGGTCTGCTGAGCTATCTTGCAGGCCCTTCATCTATATTCTTAAGGTTAAAAAAAATTCTGTATCTTATTTCTGAAGCTCAAAATTCCAAGTATCTACCCCATGCTTGGATATTGGTTAGTTAGCAATTACTAACACACTATAACTACAACAAGTTACATCAAGTTTAGCAGCATAAACCATAAAAGAGTGAAGAGTCATTTATTATTTCACATAGCTATAGAAGGTATCCATAGAGATTCAGAAATTGGAGAGTGGCTTAGCCAGATAGTGCTAGTAAAGTATTAGCCAGGGCTGCAGCTATCTAATGGCTCCATAGGGCTCCCTCCTGTGGCTGGCAAGCTGTGCTGTCAGTTGGAAATCTCAGTTCCTCTCCACAAGGCTTCTCCACAGGACTGCTTACATTACTCAATCCATGAATGTTGACTCTTCACAAGGTGAACAATTCCCATAACCAAGGCAACAGCTGCAAAACTTTTATATTTAGCCTTAGAATCCATATGCTATCACTTGTGCAGGGTTCTGCAGGTCAAAAACATGACCCTTGAACTAATGTGAGAGAGAAATCCCCAAAAGTTGTAAATCCACAGGCTAAAGGATCATTAGGGGCCATTTTGTAAGTTGGAAATAGCCTAATACACATTTCAAATCTAATATATACAAACATAATCTTCTGATCTTCCTTCCCAAAGCCATTCCTCTTTCATTCTCCTCTATAAGAAATAATGACAGATAGCAAAACACTTGGTAGTCATCTTTGACCTTTTACTGTAACACCCCACAGCAATCTCATCTGCTGTGGCCAGTCAGCTACCATGTTACTTCTACTTTCAAAATATACCCGCTTCTGATCACTCATATCTTTGAACCTAGTCCAAGAACCACTATTTCCTCCTAAGACTATTGTAATTCCTCAGCAACTGCTTGCCTAGTTCCTTTCCTTTATTCTCAAAACAGTTGAAGGGTCCAGTTAAAATATGTTAGAGCCTGTCGGGGAGATAGCTCAGTGGCACAGTGCCTACCTGGCAAGCACAAGGTCCTGAGTCTTTTTTGTATTTCCCTGATTAAAAAAAGGAAGAAAGATAGAAAGGTAGAAAGAAAGAAAGAAAGAAAGAAAGAAAGAAAGAAAGAAAGACAGACAGAAAGAAAGAAATGGTTTGTGTCTAGTTGTCCTCTCACAGCCTCATGTAGTCACTGGGGCAGGCTTCTAGAGTTCATGATTAATTCATGATCCAATGCTGAGATTATGGGTGTGAGTGCTACACCTGCCCTCGGGTGGATAGCCTAAATACAATATAAGGAAGGGGGAGATGCTTGCCTCTGCTGGCACAGCCTCTGCTCCTCCCTCCGGCTCTTACCGTTTTGCTGTTTTCTGCCTCCACAGACTGCTGCCCTCTGTCAGGTGCCACCCTGCCGAGGAGCCAGCTGAGTATGGACTGAAACTTCCACTAACTATGAGCTAAATGAACCTTTTTTTCCTTAATTTTGGGTGCTGGGTATTTTGTCCCAGCAATGTGAGAAAAGTAACTGAGACAGAAGGAAAATAAATCAGATTATGTTCTAATCAAACATAGAGAAAAGCAGAGTTCTTCTGATTGCCTGTCAGGTCCTACACTAGCTGGCTCCCATCTTCTCCCTGACTTTACCTCATAGCATTCTCCTTGCTTGCTCTGTTCCATCTGTGGTAGACTTACTGCTCATCATCTTTCCACAGCAGGCTTTCCATTGCTCTTTCCTTTTCCTCTCACGAGGAAATGCTTAGCCTCTGAATATGCTCATGGCTCACCTTTTCTTTAGGTCTTTAATCAACTGGTCTCCTTAGTGAAATCTTTTCCCACCATCATCATATTTAAAATTGTATGGCAGGGCTGGGGATGCAGATTACTGTTAAAGTACTCATATGCATGAGGCACTGGGTTGAATCTCCAGTATGGCAGAAAAACGAACAAAAAAGCAAAATAAAAGTATGATGTTTCCACAGATATGAATCCCATGTCCCTTCCTATTTTAATTGTCCTTATCACTTTTCACCATCTAGGATATTGTTTTGTTTACTTCAACCCCCGTAACAACAAAAACTAAAAATCAAAAATTTTATTTCCTCATTATGGGGCAAAATCACATCAGAAGACTTATTATGTGAGGCCATGGAGAGGATATATTACTTAGTATTCCTGCCAAGAAAGCATGACCTAAATTGAATCATAAAAATCATAAGGAAATAACCAAACTCAAAATAAGGAACATTGAAAGCCAATTCATCTCAACAATAGCAAACCCGAAATAGTTTCCAGATCAAATATAAGACCAGGCCAGCTACATTTAACTTCAAAGAAACAACAAACAGTTTTCAAGATAAGTATGTTCCCTGGAACATATTCAGTGGTACAGTATCTGCCTAGCATGTGCAAGACCCTGGGTTCAACCTCTGATACCAAATAAACACAAAATGGTTGTTCATGTGAAATCAAAAATTTGCAGAGGGTCCCACATTTATTTTTGTTATATCGGGCAATTCTTTATCTCAGGGCATTTTGCTGTTTCTGGACATACTTTTTTGCTATCACACTAGGTGGAAGTATAGCTGGTACTTTAATAGAGACTTGAAGGGTATTAAATAGCCTACAGTACACAGGCTACCCTCCAACTGAAGGGATTATCTAGCTCCGAATGTCAGCACTGCTAAAGAAATTCTGCTATAAACTAATGAAATTCTGCTATAAACCAATAAAAAGTCTTTGTTTCTGAGAATGAAGAATCATGAGTCCTATAATCTATGTTCAACATTTTCAATCAGATATCTAGTTCACTCTGCTCACCTTCTTGCCTGGAGGCATATTTCTTTCTATATCATTTTACAATAAACTCTGCCTCACCTTCTGCAAAAAAAAAAAAAGGAACATAGTATGCACAGTATATGAAATATATGTAAAGGATAAAACACTTTTGAAAAAATTAGCAATGGCTGAATCTAAATGAAAAGTTTATGGGAGTTCTGATAACTTTTCTAAGGATTTAAACACTTTTTAAATGAAAAATTTAAGTAAAAATTCCCTAGAATGAGTGAGGGGAAAAAGGTTAATGTTCATAAGAAGTTGGAAAATACAGCTATAGACATTTAAAAACATATACTTCAGAAACAAAATAGCTAGATGTAGTGGCACGCACCTCTAATCCTAGCATTTGGGGAGGCTGATGCAGGAGGATAAAAAGCTGCAGTCCTGCCTGGGCAATTAAATTTTTCCAAGATTTTATTTCCAAAAAAGGACTCCCCTCTAGTGCCAAGATTCACCCTATTTTACAAGACGCAGCACAATGACAGATAACAAATCATGTATCTGTATTATGTCATTTTCAAAACTTTCAGTTCTCTCCTAGTAACCGGTTCCTAGCCAGTGAGTTAGTTATCCAGGGAACTGGGACCCAACATCAACCAGTAGAGGGCGCTTCCACTGCGCGCAAGCGCAGAAGACCCACGAAGTCCCACCTCATCCGGGCATTTCCCGTCCCCGGAAGCTGTGGAGGAAGGAGTTTGACTGGTAGAAGCGCTTCCGGGAGGAGGCTGTTCTCTTGAGATTGACGTCGGTTTTCACTCTTCGCAGCTGCGTAGCCGCCTCACGGCCCGGAAGGTCAGGCGCGCGAGCGTGGGTCATGGCGCTGGCCTCGCGACTGTGGCGCTTTCTTCGCGTGGGACGCGGGGCTCCGGGGCCTCGGTTCCCCTCGGGGACTCCGGGCAGCCGCGGGCAGTGCGGCCTCCGGCCTTTCCGCCGCTCCGAGGTAACGCGCCGTCCGGGCTCCGCGCCCTCCGAAGAGTGGGTTCGGCCCCCTCTGCATTTTGCAGCCCCCACAAAATTTCCAGCCAGGGGTTCCTGGAGGCCCCCAGGGGCGCGACGGAGGGCGGGCATGGGTGGGGAGGGAGCGCGAGGTCCCCGGAGCGGCCGCCCCTGCCCGTCCTGCCCGTGGGAGAGGACGGAGAGGGAGCGCTGACCGCTGGGAGTGTCACGGTCGGCCGCGTCGGATACCGCGAAGGCTCTTACTGTAGCTGTCACCGCGCGACTTTTGTGACCAACAGTTTCTGTGACACAGTCGAAGATTTTTGTGCTATTTTGCTTTTGTAATTATTTCGGAGTTCCTTGTTTTATCTCCTTATTACAGATGAGTGTCAGGATGAGATGGTGGCTTGTAGTCTCAGATGTGACATTTCTGTTGGACTGGCTGCGGCCCACTGTTAATTCTTGGAAAGGGAGGGGGTTAGGAATGGCAGTGATGCGTATGCAGTTTCATTTGAACTGTTTCATTATTTGAAACTAATATATCTTTTAAACTGACTGTTTAAAACAGACATTTATTATCTTATGGTTTCTGTTGGTCTGAAGTCCACGTATGATTTAGCTTGGCTCCTCTAGTGAACGTCCCCAGGGAGGCTGAGTCAAGCAGTAGACTTTGAAAGCTCACAGAACGCTCACGTGGCTTTAGGCAGACTTTCTTCATTGGTGCTGATGCCAACAAGAAACAGCCTGTGTTTTCTCCTAGGACAGGCAAGTGGTCAAGGTCAAAGACAAGGGGGCAGGTATCAAAATGTTTTTGTTTTACTAAATAACCTTGGAATTGATGTCACTTTTATATTTTGCTTCTTGGAGGGGACGTGATAAATCCAGCGTTCATACTAAGAACCTCAGACATTTGTACAAATTATTAGTGTCTTGGAGGTATCGCAGAGTCTTGGATCTTTCATACTTTTTTTGAGATAGGGTCTCACAGTGTAGTTTAGATTGGCTTTGAACTCACTATGTAGCCCAGGCTGGCCTCGAACTTGTGGTCTCCTCCTGCCTCAGTCTCCAGAATGTTAGGATTACAGGCATGAGCCACCAACCATGACCAGCAGAACCAGTTGTGAGGTGCCAAATAAAGTTCATATAAAGATAAGGGTAGTATCTTTTCTAAGATACAGTCTCCCCATAAGGTTTGAAATAATTTTGCTCATGGAGAGACCAGGCAAAGATAGTGTTTTGGGCTTGCTGATAGTATCTAAGACTGAATGAAATAAGATTGTAGATAGAAGCAACCCAGGACATGTGGGCCTTGAGATATAGGAGATGAGGGGCTGAGAAAACGAGAAGGAGCAGTCATTGAGGCAGGAGGAAATAGTGGAGCATTTTATTTCAAAAATGAACTTAAGGGTTTTGGCAGTAGCAGAATATAGTTAGGTGTTCGGTTGCTGGTTAATTAAAGTGTCTCTCTGTGCCAGTGGCCGAGTCAAAAGAATCCATTTATTTTGGTAAAAAGGAAAAAGAATTTATTAAAAGCTAGCTCTGAGGAGATGAAGGGGCCTCATTTGCCTCAGATCACTATGTCACCCTGTACAGATGTGCAGATGTCTTGTGTAAGACGTGGATAGAGACTGTACGTGTCTCCAGGCTTGCTTTATTGGTTTCCAGCGTCTTCAACTTCATTTCTCCCTTTTCTGTGGGAAGGAAGTAGTCCCTGACATCCTGCAGCCAGCATTTACACATCCTGTCATTGTGTTTTGAGTTTAGAAGAAGACAGTGCTGGTTTTGGCCTGGGCAGTAGGAAGTTGGAGAAGCCCCTTATCTCTAGAGAAAAACATCTAACTTTCAAAGCTCAATTTTGCCATGCCAGTTGTACTGGAGCACTGACAGAAAATACCTTCGGGATTGATTTATTTTCATTGTGATATTAATAGTTTGTCACATTTGTAAACATCTTAAACTGGGTGTAAATTATATCTTAATAAAGCTGTTTCTAAAAATCAACTGTCCACTCATTTAAAGAAGTGATCAGCGGTCAAATGTTGGAAGGTCAAATAAGATGAAAATTCAAAATTGACCACAGGAAATAGGGGTTGAGCATTGAGTATCCTTAATCTGAAAATTTAAATCTCAGAATACTTTAAAATCAGAAACTTAACTGAGCACTATAAGTGGAAAATTCTGTACCTGACCTCATGGGATAGGTCGCAGTCAAAAACATAGGCACATTAAAAATAGTAAAATTACTGGCAGGCTATATGTGTAAAGTGTATATGAAACAAATGTATTTCATATTCAGCCTGTGGTTCCACCTATGAAGTATCTCATTTCATTTGTGCAAATATTTCACAATCAGATGTCTGAAACCCTTCTAGTCCAAAGCATTTTAGGTAAGATATACCCAACTTGTAGCAGCATCCTTGGTGTCATTAACTAGAATGGCATCAGTGAAGTTGTGAGGCTTAAAGTATTATTACTTGTGTGGGTTCCAGAGAGAATGGGATGAAGAAAGGAAGTAGAAACAGTACAGAAAACTTTTGCTGAAGTTTTGAAGAGTTTTGCTGAAAAATAAGAAATGAAATTAAGGGACATGTGAAATCAAGAGGAATTTTTTTTTAAATTTTTTGTTTTTAAGAAGGAAATGCAGCTTGTCTTTCAAAGATAGCATAGCTTGCTTTTTTATGTGATGAGAATAAAAAGAGAACACATGCTGTGTTAAAGAGAAACGTTGTGTTATAGTGTATCACACTTGTGTCTCTGCAAATAAATTCTATCTCTTCCAATCCAGGATTACTGCCATGACTGATTTTATGTATTTTTGCAGTGCTGGGGATTGAGCCAGGGCCTTGTGTGTGGCAGGCAAGTGTACTGCCAGTGCAGTACATCCCCAGCCCAGGACTGGTTTTTACCATATCTGGGTAGTATCTTTTACTAAGATACAGTCTCCCCATAAGGCTTGAAATAATTTTGCTCATGAACTTGATGGAGCAGTTTTTGAATTTCCAATATTTTTATGATTAATATCTTTGAAAATGAAAGAAAGTTTTATAGTTTTTGCTTAAAGTAGTAATTTCTTCAGATTTTCCAAGTTTGACAACTGACCATATTATTTTCCATAGGTGATAGGAAACGCAAGAACTTTCAAAAGTGGCCTGTTATTCTCAGCCTTGTCTTATTTGGGTTTTGAAACTTACCACATCATTTCTCAGGCTGCTGTAGTTCATGCCACAGCTAAAGGTAAGTTTAAAATAAATATCTGGAATACTTATTTTCACTTTTAAATAGACAGTGAAATTAGCATTTTTATAGTACAGGTTTTTTCTGCTGTTCTGACCAGCCTGCCATTTTAATTTTTTTCTAGAGGCCAGATGACTGTCAGTGTTTCTGTGTTAATGCTTTATATTATTTGTTCAACCCTTAGGCTAATTTTTTTTTTTTAATGTTAGAGGGGGTGGTGTTGGGAAAGAATAATCACAGAGACCATGTGTTACCTGCAAAGCATGAACTCTCAGAGCTTTATAGCAAGCTTGCTAAGCTCCAATTTCCAGTGATTCTTTTACATGTTTCACTAATGCCAAGGTGATACACTTTTCTTGATTAAGAAGAGACTTACTACTTTAAAATAGAAATATTTTATTTACGGGATGGAATTTGGTATCAAATATCAGATAACTGGTTTGAAAGTAGAAAAATTCCATCATGTTTATTCGATATAATAAGTAAACATATTAAAATTTACCAAGTTTTTGGTAATTTACCAAGTTTTTTTTAAAAATTAAATTTGGTTAAGCTAGTTGTAGAAAGAACCAAAATTTAATTGGAAATTTTATTTATTTTTATGTATTTGGTACAGTGTCTCACTATACAGCTCAGACTCATAGTGATCCTCCTGTTTCAGGCTCCTCAGCACTGGAATGACAGGTGTGCGCCACCATACCCCATTTTGGTGGCTGGCTCAGCACATCCGGAGCCAAGGCTGGGGTGGCATATGGTGCTGGATTGAACCCCAGTCCCTGTGTTGGCCTAAGCAGGCACTTAGTTTGCTGAGCTATCTCACAGGCCCTGGAAATTTTAATTTATGTGTTAATCCTCTGTTTCTCATGGTCTTCATTTTTTAATCATAAAGGCAAAGGTAACGGATAAAACAATTGCTTTTTTTTGCATTTTTTTGTGGTTCTGCTGAAGCACAAATAAACATGCACACAGGCCATCTACTAGTTTTCTTCACCACACAGCCTGGCATTGGTATTGGTGACCCGGATGGCTAGCTGAGCTGCTCTTTCCACGATGACCCTGCGGTTCTTAGAGGAGACATTGTGAGCAATGTCTGCGCAGTAAGACTCGTTGCACATCAGCAGTACCTGTAGCTCCTTAACATTGTGCACCATGAACTTGCGGAAGCTGCTGGGCAGCATGTGCTTTGTCTTTTTGTTACTTCCATAATCTATATTGGGCATCAAGATCTGGCCCTTGAACCTCCTCCGCACCCTGTTGTCGATGCCTCTGGATTTGTGCCAGTTGCGCTTAATTTTGACATAACTGTCTGACTGGTGCCGGATGAACTTCTTGGGCTTCTTTTTGTTGATCTTGGGCTTCATGAGGGGGTCTGATGGCTGCCACGGTGCCAAGTGGGAGATGGCTGCCACCTCTGTAGGCAGCGCCGAGGCAGAGAGGGGATGGTGGTGCGCAAGGGCTGATGGGACTAGCCTAGATAATTGGTTTTGAAAAGATTTCTTTTAAAGTTCTTATGGAAGAATAATTTGAAGATGTTATCTAAAAATGATAAATTGCCTATTGATTTGATTTTTCCATCACAATCTTTTTTTTCTTTTAAACATAATTGAGAACTGCTATGTTTCAAGGTAGTACCTCTGATATAACAGTACTTGCTTTGAGGATTCCATTCGGTTCAAAAGAACGTATGATTGTATTTGTAGATAGAAATTGTTACTCTTTTCTTGTATGCTAATTCTTTTCATTTTGACTAATGTTGCCCCAAAATGTGATAGCTTCCCCTACGATATAAAAATAAATGTACACATAAATACGATTCTAAATTACATTTTAAGGCCTGGATACATTTTATTTAATGTACTGTATAATAAGAAAACTGGAGGTATGTGATTTGAGAGGTCATAGTAGAATATACACAAAAAAAAATTTAGCTTATTTACTAAATTTCTTTCAATTTAAAGATTACATGGATTAAAAACAGGTAGAATTCCTGTTAAATGCAGTAATCAGTTTTTAAGGAGTTGAAGAATAATCAATAAAAATAACATACATACTATGAACACTTTCAAATATACTAGATAGGTGTCTTTAATACTGTTAAATTAGTATGGTGGGTTTTTTTTTGTTGTTTTTTTCCTGCTGTAACAAATAGTGATTTAATGCATATTTTTTAAGTCTATTCTTTTTGTAGTTCAAAAGTCCAAAATGGTTCTTATTGGGCCAAAATCAAGGTGTTGGAAAGGGCTGTGTTACTTTCCAGAGGTCCAAGGGAAGAATCTGCCTACTTTTTCAGCTTTTCTGTGTTTTACCCATTTCTCCTTCCATGGTTTATGGAGATGTGTGTGCAATAAATTCTTACACCTAAAATTGCTTTTTAAGATATTTACACGTTATACCTCTGTCAGAGTAAGTGACCCAAATTTTACTTTGCATAGTTTTAGTAAATCATTTTTTATTAGTTTTATTTTTATTTCTACCATGATTCATCTAGATTCTTCACAGTGTTTTATCTTGTAGTCAGTTTCTGTGTCTGATTTTGCTAGCTTTTATATACAACTGTTTATATTTCCTAAAATTATAGCTGTTTGACTTAACAAGACCTACTTTATGTCTTTTTTTCCTTTATAATTTTGGAAGTTGAAGAGATTCTTGAGCAAGCAGACTACCTGTATGAAAGTGGAGAAACAGAAAAACTTTATCAGTTGCTAACTCAATACAAGGAAAGGTAGGCAATGTGTAATAGGCCTGGCCTTGGGTTTCCTTAAAGTTTTCCATTGGAATATATATTTACTTTAGCTATGTACAAGGTGTGATAAAAAATGCAGCAAATACACAGATTAAAAAAAAAATTTCGATAAAGATACATTGTGTCTCATGCCCTCTCAAAATACTCCCCTGACTTTGAACACACTTATGCTTTCCTCATGCTTTCCACTGCCTGGAAGATCTCTTTTGAGGCTTTAGTTGCCTGTCTTGGCTGCCTCGATGTCATTATTGCTTGATGTCTTGAATGTATTCAAAATATTTATCTTTCATGTTCAGTGATTTTGGCGAAGAGCCAGAAGTCACACAGTGCCAGACAGATCTGGTGAATAAAATAGATGAGAATACTCCATAATGTTGGCTGACTGGCATTTCTGTTAGATGGCACTCTACAGCAGCATTCACTGTGTTTTTTTAATTACACCATGTAAAGACACACACAAAAAAATTGTAGAACTATTTCATGAAGTGGCAGAAATGATGAAGTGGAATATTTTAAAAGGGATTGATGACATTATGTTTTACTGTAACTATGTATTTTGTTCACACCTTATATATTGTGTATCTTTTTTTTTTTAGTAAAGTAATTCTTTATTGGTACATATATAATTTCAGTGAATTAATGAGGGTTTAGAATAGCTTATGTCTCCATTGAAAGGTGACTATTTAGAAGCACAGTTTTTCAGAAAAATCAAAAGTACCTCCTTTTAAATCTTGACTTATTAGACTACGTATTTAGTCTAGAGTGTTAGTGTGTGCTCAGTTTTGGAGGGTAGAGATAGAAAGGTTAACTTTGTAAGTCAAATAGGACTAAATGGGATTAGTGTAATGAATGTGATCATTATGTATGTCAAAAATGTACAATCAAAGTAATTTCTAAAAAATCCTGGGAAAATAGGCAGAATTGTAAGGAAAAACTAAGTAACATCACAAAAATTTAAAGCTATAAAAATTATATAAAACAAAAATTATAATAAGGAATAAATAATACTCCCCTTCACTTATTGCATCATTTCTGCAATTTTCTAAGTAAACTATTAATCCAGGTAACAAATCTCCCAAACTTAAAAATTCTGAATCAGTTTTACCTATCTTTGACTCAAGCATTAGCTTTTTCCCTAAGATCCATCAGTTTGCTGCCTGAAACATGTACAGGATCAATAGTTTTTTTCCATTCCACCTATAAGAATGTGAAGTGACTGTTTTGCATATTCATTTCAGTGATAATTTGAAAAGTAATCTCTAAGATAGTTTATGTTTATTCAATTATATACATACTGTTCCTACCTAGCTTTCCTTGAACTTGCTTAATGTTCCAGGCTGGTCTCCCAACTCAGCCATTTGTGTACTAGAATGACAAGCATGTGCAACTATGACTGGCTTAGTTTTAAAATTTTATGTGAATATTATTTGCTGTTTAAATAATAAGTAGGTGGGCTGGGGAGGTAGCTCAGTAGAATAAGCACTTCCCTGGTAAGCGCAAGGGCCTGAGTTCAATCCCTGGTTCTGCCAAAAAAAATCATAAAATAAAAAGATAGACTTAAAGATGATTTTTTTTTTTATTTTTCAGACAATCTCACTATGTAGTTGAAGCTGGCCTTCAGTGCACTATGTAGCACAGTTTGGCCTTAAACCCATGGTATTCTTCCTGCCTCAGCCTCCTGAGTTACAGGATTATAGGCGTGCACTATCATACTTGACATAGATGGGCAATTTAATAAAAAGTAATTTGAAGTTACTTTTTAAAGATATTTTTATCAATTGTGGTTACTGATTTATTAACCATTTCTTGTTTTATATAATTAATTGATAGTTTTTCAAATAGTTTAGTACTTGAAAAAAGCCCTACGTCATGTTATGCCATTCAAACACGGGATTTATTTTAAGATTACATCCATTAATAAGTACCTAACATAGCTCTGGTGTGCCAAGTGCTATATTTGAGGTTAGGGATTAGTAGTTTCGTTTTTAGATCACGACCCTGTTACAGAGTCTGTGTGTTAGGGCTGTGTCTCAGCTGTTTAGTGAATGGTGTGAAGCACAGTGCTATTAAAGTCAGGCCTCAAGTAATGGTGAGTTTGTAGGGCAAGTGTCTAGAGAATGTAAATGTAGGTATTTTCCTAAGAAAGTATTTTAGGTGTTATAGAAACATTGGTATTTATGAAAAATATTGGATGTTTTTAGGAAGTTTTAGTATATAAAAGTTTTTAACAAGAGAAAATAATAGATTTAGCATTGATAAATAGCTTTTGATACCATGTTGTTTTCTTTCTTTCTTTCTTTCTTTTTTTTTTTTTTGGCAGAACCAGGCATTGAACTCAGGCCTTTGAGCTTGCCAGGCAAGCGCTTATTCTACTGAGCCATCTCCCCAGCCCCATATTGTTTTCTGTGTCCTATCAAATGGAAAGATCATTTATCAGCGGTGTGACCTTTAACAATTTTTTTTTTCTCCGAATGCCTTCAGGGCAGGTTTGGCTGGCTTGACTTGTGGGGATTGAACCACAGCAACCTGAGCCTGACTGCTTTGTTGAAGCAGCCTCTTAAAGAACTGATCTAAGTGGCAGGCCCCCAACAATTTTTAAATATGAGTGTAATTGGTGGCTTTCTGTTTCATTTAAAATTAGTAAAGATGCAGAGTTACTGTGGCGTTTGGCACGGGCATTACGTGATAGAGCTCAGCTTAGCAGGACTTCAGAAGAGGAGAAGAAACTTCTTGTGTACGAAGCCCTTGAATATGCAAAAAGGGCACTGGAAAAAGATGAGTCCAGCTTTGCTGCCCATAAGGTGAGGTGGTTATAATTAGCTGTCGCCGTATGTGCTAAGGAACACTGATCTGTACTGGACTATTCACAGTTCACTTAGTAAAGGATATTATTATATTTTGAAAATGTAGGAAAGATATTTATTTTTATAACACTTTCTTCATTATAGCTTTAGCTGGCCATGGTTGGTGCATGCCTATAATTCTAGCCTTGTAGAAGTTTTGATAAGTTGTGAGCTTTGATATTATTTTTGTGGATGTTTATTTTTAAACAAATGTGAAATAGGCTTCATGAATTAACTTTATCTTTATTTTTATGACAAGTCCTTGATTAATACTTTCTCATTTGTTTTGTATATTACTTTTTGTTTTATTTCAAGGTAGGAGTATAGGAGCTGGGCAGTTGAGACCCAATGAGATTTATTTTTACATGGATCTCAGCTAGATTTTGAAAGTCCCAGTTGCTTTAGGACACTTTCAGTAGCTAGTGTGGGAAGTTTGGGAGTATTATGGTGTTTTGGTTAGGACTTTCAACATGTTGAATTGTCCCTAGTAGAGCTGCAAGTCACTGTGACAACCAACTTGCATCTCCACACATTTCCAGATGTTCCCTGTACAAGTTAGTATTCTGTCTTCCATTACTGCCTATTGCTAGTGTGTTTACAATATAAAGCAGATACAAATTCCTTTAAACTTATTGAGATATTTTATAGTTAGAAAACATGGTTCACCTTTGTCAATGTTCTTTTGAAAAAGAATATGTTACAAATGTATTATAAATGCTACTTAGATCATATAGGTTCATAGTTTTCCAATCCTCTAAAGTTTTACGGATTTTCTATAAATTATTAAAAGTAGAACACTGAACTTTCCAGGTACAATTGTATATTTTATTTTTTCCTTACAATTCTGTTTAGTTTTTCCAGTATTTTTTAGAAATTAATTTTATTGTACATTTTTGACATACATAATGATTGCATTCATCAGAGGAAATTTGTACCTGTATATATCTTAATTCTTTTTTTCCTCCATTTCCTTCCTTTAATCTTTCTTCCCTGCTCCATTTACACAACTTTGTTTCTGTTGTTTTTCCTTCCATTTTTAATTTCTTAAATCCTTGTTTCCTTCCTTCCTTTTCTCCTCCTCCTCTTCCCTCCCTTGTTCCCCTTTTTATCTGAATGTTTTCTTCCTACTTCCCAATATCTATCCTCCATTTTGGTCCTCATTTACCCTTTGCATTTCTCACACAAGAGAAACAATGAAATATATAAATGCATGTTCAGTTTATTTCACCGAAAATTATATTCTCAAAGTGTATACATTTTCCTAAAAATGTCTCAAGTGTATCCATTTTATGGCAGTATTCCACTGCATATACATTTATCCATTGATGGACATATTGGCTATTTCCAAGATTTAGCTATTACAATTTGTGCTGCTATAAACATGGATGTACATGTGGTGCTGTTGTACAGTGCTTTTAACTTTCGGGAAGATACCTCAAAGAGTTATAACTAAGTCACATGGAACCTCTAGTTTAAAATTTTTGAGCACTATCCATGCTGATTTCCATACTGATTATAACAGTTTCTGTTCTTAGCAACAGTGGAAAAGGGTTCATTCATTTCCCACCCTCAACTCATCAGCATTTGTTACTGGTTGCTTTCTTCATGACCACCTTTCTTTCTGGAGTGAGATGGATCCTCAGTGTTGTTTTAACTTGCATTTGTTTAATGACCAGTGATACGGAACTTTTTTTCATGTATTTTCTGTTTCTACTCATTTATCTGAGAAATGTCTTCATTTCAGATGCCCATTTTTGGATTGGGTCATCAGATTTGGGGTTTTTTTGTTGTTGTTGAACTCTTTATAAATTCTAGATATTAATCCTTTAAAGAATAAATGATAAAAATGTTTCCCTTTCTATGAGTCATGTCTTTGCACTGTTCGTGATTTGCTAAGCCAAAGTTTTTTAAAATGATGTGATCCCAGTTGTTTCTTTGTAATATTTTCTGTGCAATTGAGGTTCCGTTCATGAAGTCTTTGTCTACACTTATGTCCTCAAGTGTTTTTTACCTGTTCTATTTTGAAGCAGATTATTTCTGTTGCATTATTATTATTTATTTATTTGCTTTTGTACCAGGGATCAAGCTTAGGACTTGGCCCTTGCCAGGCAGGCACTTATGCTGCTGAGCCATGTCCCTGGCCCCTGTTTCTGTTTTAATATTTAGGCCTTTGATCCCTTTCAGTTGTATATGGGTGTAGTTTTAATCTTTGATATGTGAAGAATTTTTGCAGCACCATTTATTAGAGGCTGTCTTTCAGTGAAGCTGTTTGAACCCTTTGCAAAGATAAAGTAGTAAAGTTGTTTCTGCAGCTTCTGTTCTGTCCTATTGATCCTTGGGTCTGCTTTTCTTGCTAGTGCCATTTTGTTTTTTATCACAGTAGCTTTGTAATATAATTTTTTATAGTATAATTTTAAGTAGGGGATTGTGATGCTTTCTGTTTTTCCTTTTGTCTTAATTGGTTTTCTCTCCTTACTGAGACAAAAATACCCAACACCCAGAGTTAAGGAAGGAAAGGTTTATTCAGCTCACACTTTGTAGAGGTTTCAGCAACCAATAGTAGGCTCCCGGGCAGAGTGATGCGAGTCTTTTCCTACCTAATACTGTGTGCTGGCTGTCCTCCTGAGAGTGGTGTAGCACTCAAGGCCCCAACAAGGCAGGGTGATGTGAGTCTCTTTTCCTTCCTAATACTGCGCGCTGGCTGTCCTCCTGAGGGTGGTGTAGCACTCAAGGTCCCAACAAGCAGGAGATAGTGAACCAGTTACAAGTGATATTCAGCTAACTGCAACGAGCTGGGCCTTCCCCAGGACCACATGAGGCTTTGGGGGAACATCCAGACACAAATCAATAGCACCATTTTGCCTAGAGTTGCTTTAGTTACTCTAGGTTTCTTCTGGTTCCATATGAATTTTAGAATTGCTTTCTCTAGTTCTCTGATGCATGCTGTCGGCATTTTGATCAGAATTGCATTCAGTCTGTGTAACCATTTTTCGAAGTATGGCCATTTTCAGTATATTGGTTCTGCCTATCCAAGAATAAGGGATATGTATTCATTTTCTGATACTGTTTTTTTTTTTTTTTCTAGCACTGTTCTTGTTTCCTTTTTCAGAGTACTGTGGAAGGAAAGTTTATAGCTCAGTTTGTAGAGGTTTTAACCCATATCAGAGGGCTCCAAGGCAGGAACCATGAGACAAAGTAGATTTCAAGCCACAACTGATCAGAAGATAGTGACTACATACTTGTTAGGGGAACAATCCAAGAGGAAGGGATAACAGTCAAATATTCAGTCTGCCAAATCACATATATGCACTTCCAGAAAAGAAACAATGTATGGTATTTTTCAACAGAGGGTGTTCTTTTGTCTGGGGTACCTTAGAGGGCGCCATATGTTACAAAGTAGCCACTCGCTGTGGACACTTAGAGAAAAAAATTGAGAAAGCATGCACAGCACTCTTAACGACCAAGGTTACCCAAGCAACAGTTTGCCCTACTAATAACTGTCTGGAAGCTCATGGCCATGAACACTGCTTATAACTATAGATGCCAAAAGCAACTTGTATTAATCTCATGATATGTCAATAAATTTAGTATTAAAGCATTTATACAAATTTTTCTTTTCCTGAAGTGTGTATGCATTTGGCAGACTGTATGTGTGTGCCAAATACTGGCACACTCATCTGTATAAAACAAATACTAATGGCTATTTAAAAACAGATAAACACTATACATTTTAATGCAGGAACCTCAACAGCCCCTGTCACAGACAATCAGCTAGACCAAAAAATCAGCAAAAAAATACGAGCTAAACCAAACCTGTAAATAAATGGACTTAGTAGATATGTACAGTGTTCCATCCAGCAACAGAATACACTTTTCACACCAGCACATGGAACTTTCTCCAAAATAGACCACATATTAGCTCATAGAACATGCTTACGTAAATACAAAAGAATCAAAATGATCCCATGAATATTAGCGTGTTTTTAAAAGTGTTAGAAGAATAATCATTTAGGATTAATTTTTCTTTTCTTTCTTTCTTTTTCTTTTGTGGGGGGGGGAGTGGGGATTGAACTTGGGCCCTTGCGCTTGCCAGGGAAGCGCTTATTCCACTGAACCATCTCCCCGGCCCCTAATTTTTCTAATTGTCCTTTGTAATCCTCTTCATCACTACAAATATTCTGAGTTTTACATTCTTTGATACTAATATAGCCATTCTTGCCTCTTTTGATTAATGTTAGCATGGTACATACTTTGCTGTCATTTTACTTATTTGCATTTTGTCATCGTTGTGTTCTGAGAAAAAATTTTACTTTGTTGCATAGGCTGGGCTCAAACAACTAGGCTCAAGGGATTCTGCTTTAGCCTCCTGAGTAGCTAGGACAACAAGCTTATTTATATATTGTTACGGTTTGTGTCTAGTTGTCCCCCGAAAACCTCATGCAATCATGGGGAAGCTTATAGAGTTTGTGATTGATTCTTGATCCAACGATGGGATTATGGGTGTGAGTAATACATCCTGGCCATGGGGTGGTTAATTACAATATAAAGAGGGAAAAGAGGCTTGCTAGCAGCCACAGCCACTGCCCCTCTCTTTGCTCTTTGCCTCTGCCATGTGCCATTCTGCTTGAGAGTCAGCTGAGTAAGGGCTGAAACCTCCACAAACTGAGCTAAATAAACCCCTCCTTCCTTCATTGTGGGTGTCAGGTAATTGTCCCAGCAATGAGGAGAGTAACTGAGACATATATTTAACTGCCTTTAGCATTGCTTTTATGCTGAATAACTTTTGTTAAATGGGAATAACAAGGAGTAAATAGTTGTCTGATTTTTCTTGATATTAAGTCACTTATTAAGAGTATTTTCACAACTTTTTCTCTCTACTTACAGTGGTATGCAATCTGCATTAGTGATGTTGGCGATTATGAAGGTATCAAGGTTAAAATTGCAAATGCCTACATTATCAAGGAGCATTTTGAGGTACTGATGACTTGTTCAAGTTCATGAATTTGAAATGACAGCTATCTTTCTGAATAGGTTTCAGTTACCAGGGCACCTGAGACTTAATGGTCTAAAGCTGGGCATGGAGTTCCAGTTCAGTGAGAAGCATAGGCATGAGGATCACTTGAACCTCTGATTTCTGAATCAGTCTGGACAAACATAGCCAGCCTTTCTCTTGGAAAACAATCTAAAGTAATGGGCTACTTTTTTTTTTTAATTCTGTGGGTTTACTAAGTCCCCACTTGGTACATCTCGGATTATATAGATGGTTGCATTCACCCAAGCCCTCAGCTGTGACTTGAATGTTCAAGATTGCCTCTCAGCTGCTAGATTTCCTGCCACTTGTCTTTGTTATCATAGCCCAACCAAAGCTTCTTTATTGTGTGGCAGCTAGCTTTTAAGAGTGAGAGCTCCAAGTGGAAGGTCCAGTGTGCAAACTTTTATCAAACATATTTGTATCATACTTTGTAAAATTCTGTTGATGTAATCAACTGACATAGCCAAGCCCAGTTTTTGTGGAAAGGGCTAGTCGCAAAAGGTCCTGAATACCTACATAAGCTAATGAAACATCTAGCCCAATTGACATACCATTAGCGTAGTTATAATGCTAGTTAACATTATGATTTTATGTATTTTGTGTTTTAATATTCCCCTGTAAAAATAATTCACTTATGGTAGAACGTTTAGCTGCCAAAAGTTCTGAGAAGTCTGTTTATATTTGAGACAGGGTCTTGCTATGCAGTTCAGGCTCACCTTGAACTCAGAATATATCCCAGGCTGGCCTCAAACTGGTTCTTCTGCCTCAGCCTCCTGAGTGCTAGGATTAGAGACATTCACCACACCTGGCCAGGAGTCTTATTTCTTAATACACACACACACACACACACACACACACACATCAGTCCTTTTTAAAAAATGAACACCAAAACCTTAGTATATATTTCTTTTTGTTACTGTAGTTCATCTCAGAAATAGAACAACCAGTGGAAGCACACACAGGGACAGTACTGCAGCTCTTCTGTCATGTTAAGACAATGGTCACTGTCTCAGTTCCAGTTTATACAGCAATAAGTGAGCAGCAACAGTGCACTGAGAGTCAAGGACTTGACTTATTATTCAGGCATTAATGTATATAATTATCTGTATTTTATAGTGCAATCATTGCATATTTCATATTTTTATATCTTCAAATTGAGATTGCATTGTGTAGTCACACCTTACAGTATTATCGGCAGAAATGGATTTTCCTTTTGTAGTGGCACATAAAATGATAGTATAACATACTATTTTAGCATCTTAGGTTCAGTAAAATAATTTCCTTAGCAACATAACTAAGTTACTTATTTCATTGTGTCTGAGGACAGAGAAATATATGTGGTGGGCAAACATTACCACTGAGCTGCACTACTAGTCTGTTTTAAAGAATAATTCCAGCAGAGGAAGAATATAAAACTTAACTAAAATCAACAAGTTGAGGCCATTGTGCTGTGATTTGAACATGATTTGATTTGAGCTGTGACTTGTAGTCTAATTTCAGAACCAGAGCTCGTAACTATTAGGAGTATTTGAAATTGTGTGTCTCAGTCTATTACCAAACTAAAAGTGAAAACATGGGCTTAAAAAAACAAAGCCTTTATTTTCATTAGGATTGACATTTATCTGTGAGATTCCTTTAATGCTTTTAATAAAATAGTGAATGAAAGAAGCAAAACACATTTTTTTTTGGTAACACTCTGGATCTTGGACATGCTAGGCAAGCCCTCTTAACACTGAGCTATAAACCCTAGCTTTTTTTTTTTTTTTTTAAATCATTTTGAGACATAGTCAAGTTAAATTGCTCTGGCTGGCTAAGGAGTAATTTCTTTAAAACTATTCTATACCTTGTGCTTTTTTTATTTTTACACTAATTGACATACTAAACAAAATTAGGTAGACTTATTAACCTATTAATATTGCACAAAATTATTCTATCCTATAAGAAATATTATTTTTTTCTGTTGGTAAATGCAGGTGGCAAAAATTGAACATAGTCTACAAATAGAAGAGATCTGTCCAAATTAAATACTTCTAGTCCTTTTAGAAAAGAATTCTTTTCGTTTACTATTTGCCAAAGCAGGACTTAGTTTTCCTTTCACTTAATAGATCCTACAGTAGTAACTTTAGTACAGGTCATTAGTAAAGGATCAGGAGGAAGAAAGTTGGTATTATCATAGAGAAAGTAAAATTTAAGGTTGCAGCTTTTTAAAAAGTCAGGGCTTCTTCAGCAAATGTAGTGAAGTACTTACTGGTGCCTAGAAAAGTAGCATAATTGATTTTCTCATTTCTTGGTAGAAAGCAATTGAACTGAACCCTAAAGATGCTACCTCAATTCACCTTATGGGTATTTGGTAAGAAAGTTTTTTACAATTTCAGTGGTAGTAAAATGTTACTATGTATGTAAGTCATTTATGCAAGATGTAACATTTTCAATACTCAGGAGAGGGGGCAGGGAGATAGCTCAGTAGAATAAGTGCTTCCCTGGCAAGCGCAAGGGCCTGAGTTCAATCCCTGGTTCCGCCAAAAAAATTACTCCGGAGAGTTCAGAGTGTTAAATCCATTAATTAGCACCTGTTTTGGAACATACTAAATTTGTGATCATGTTGAACCTTGTTATTCAAATCATTGAGAAACAGAGTTGCACTTAAAAGAACTTAGAAGTTATAGGCCTTTTAAAATTTCCTGTGTTGGGAAAAGTATCTTAATTTACTGTGCCAAATAAAAAGGGATTAATCTAATAAGAGTAATATAAGAGCATGCCTCAAGAGAATCTTTTCATGGTTAAAGTTTGTTAAATACCACCTAGTTTAAAAGAAGCAATGTAATCTTTTTTACTTATTTATATTTTTGTGCTAAGGGTGCTGTCCCCAGGGGCCTCACATGCTAGACAAGCCCTGTACAGAGCTATGTCCCAGCTCATTGTGACCTTGTATCTGCTGGTGGATAATTGTTTTCCTGATATTAGAGTATACCAGTGTGTTATATATTTGCTTGTGTAGGAGTCTTGAAATAGCAGGTTGGCTATGTTTTCCTTTAGGTGTAGTCTATAGAGCTAAATATTTATTACCCTATGTAAAAGGGTACCTTGTAAGCAGTCCTGTATAAAGCTTCTAAAAGACAAGTAATTTTTTTTTTTCAGGATAAAGAACGTATTTAACTACCAGAGATTAATGATGATTGAGAGGCACTTAGAAAACATATACAGTCTCTGCCCAAGACTCTAGTCAGAGATCTCAAACTTTTCTCTTTGTATCAGGAAGTTGTAAAATTTTTTGGATGTAAATCATTTGCTTTACTCCTTTGGAAATGGATTCAAATTGTTAGCACTTGTTATCCATGTATATTTTGTTCAGCCTTGTCATTGGATAAAATTTTTAAACTTCTTTTGAGTTTTCCTTATGTAAAAAATACTGACTATGGATCCTGTATCATTCAATTATAAGGAATACATGAGAGAGCCATTTAGCCCAGCATTTAGTGATTGATGATATAATATCACTACTTGTACTGTTGCTATTTGTATTCAGTCATGAAATATACAACTAATGGATCATTTCAGGCTCTAGATAATTCAGTGTGAATATTAAGTATTGAGTATCATGCAAATAAAACGCAAATTGTTTAGTGGTATAATAGAGGATTCATTTATAGTATCTATTAAGATGTTTATGTGAAAAAAGATGGTAATGGACGTGAATGCTGTTTTATTTCTCTATAGGTGTTATACATTCGCTGAAATGCCTTGGTACCAAAGAAGAATTGCTAAAATGTTGTTTGCAACTCCTCCTAGTTCCACCTATGAGGAGGTAGTATGATGTCCTTTGTTACATTAGTACTGATTTCTTAACTACAGCGCCGTCCTACAAGGTCCACACATATGGAGCTCTGATTCAGTGAGGGACTTGAGCAAGTTTCTAATGATCCAATTCAACTATCGTATCACAGAATTAATGCTTATTATCCATGGCTGGTGAGTGCTTTTTGTGCAGAAGTTCAATTACCAGTACTGGGGAGTACAGGGGAGTATATAGATATGTAATAAGAGTACACATTCTAAATAACAAAAAAATTACTACCACAACTAGTACATATATTTTATATTTGGCTGTATTAATCTCATGAAACTGATTGTTTTAAGATGATTTTCTTCTTGACATATTTAATATGGGAATAGATCTTTCAGAAAATGCTTTTTTAAAAAAAAGTGAGTCAACTTTAATTCTTTTTATGTTGTTTGCCCTTTTTGTTTGTAACAGGCCTTGGGCTACTTTCACAGAGCAGAACAAGGTAATCTTTGTATTTCACATACTAATATTGTTAAAAATTGTGTAAGTGCTGAGTATATAGTTTTTTTGTTTTTGTTTTTGTACCAGGAGTCAAACTCAGGAATTTGTCCTTGCCAGGCAGGCACTGTGCCACTGAGCTAGATCTCTGACCCTGAATACGTGAAATTTTAAAAATAAAATACTGTTACAGTTTTTTAGTAAATATTATAAAGCAATTTTAAAATACTTAATAAAGATCAGCTAACTAGGCCACTGTTGAAATTAGTTGTGTATTTGTGGAATGCTTTCATTTAATGTAATTCAATCTTCTTTTTGAGAAGTTGTTTATGTAAGTTGATAGTTACTTAAACTTACACAAGTTAGAGGCATTTCGATGAAAACTGCATTTTTATGTTGTTAATTTTTTTTAAAAAAAGAAAAAGCCCTATAGAACTGTTGTCAGCCCATCATCCTACAAATTAGCCCATATTAATACTAATAAAGAAGTAGGAAAGTAAAGGATATAACTATTTGTTACCAAATATACCACAAAACAACTGGAAATAATAGCTCTAAAATCTAATTGTCTTGTAATTAAGGAGACCTAGTGTTTATTAGTGATCTTACACAAATGGACCTATTTAAATGTTTTTATAACTAGTGTTTTAGTTTTTAAAAAAGCTTTCTGAAGATTTATGTTGGAATGTTTAATCTGTCTTATTTACAAATTTGGTTTATTGTTGCCTTTGATACCTTATGATCACATTTTTAGATGTCATTAATATGACCATGAATGAAATCATCTCAGATTTTAAAATATAATTATAAATATTACAATTTACAGACTTAAGGTTGGACCTGAGAAGAACATGGCCCTGCGTTCATGGAGTTACAAAACTCTGGTTAACTCCGGTCAACCTCCTTTTATCATTTTCTCTGAGCACCCTTCCCTTGTGGCTCAGAAGCTTGTCCTGTGCTTCCTGAACCCCAAACTATGAACTTTGATGGATCTGTCTAGGCGACAAACTCAGGGAAGATGAAGATTTTGTTTCTGGCTTGTAGTTGTATCCTCCTGGCCCAGGGTAATGCTTACCAATGACTAAGTAAACACATGAATGGGTCAGCCACTGTACTTACCCCTAAGGAAACCTAAGTATGTCAATATTGTCATACAAATATATTTAAATCACAGAAGTTAAACAGCTCTGAATTACCAAGGAAGTGAATTTAATCATAATTGTATGCAGGAAAAAATATGTTTTATTTTGTTTTTTCCCCCTTGGGGCTTGAACCCAGGACCTTTGTACTGAGGTAATACCCAACATTATGTTTTTAATTATAATTTTAAAATTTTGAGACAGGATCTAAGTTTCCTCAGCTGGGCTTGAACTTGTGATCCTTTTGTCCCAATCTCTCAAGAGTGCTAGGATTACAGACATAAGTCACCATACCTGATGTGTTTTCTTTTTGGTATTGGGGTTTGAGCACATACAGGGCCACCTACCACATGACAAGTAATGGTTCTACCACTGAGCCATACCCCAGCTCCAGAAAGTATGCTTTGACTATAGAGACTTTTATAGGTCTTTTAGGTGATAACTGTGTGAAGAATTACAAAGTTAGTAAGAAGATACTTCCATATTTTCATTCATAGGCCTAAAATTTGTTTTAATGAACATGTATGTATTTATGAAGAGCAATGCTAATTCAGCACATCTGTACAATATGTAATGTTTAAATCTGGGTAATTACTATCTCTATCTCCTTAAACACTGTCATTTATTTGTGTCAGGAGGCTCTGAAATCTCTTAAGAGTTGTTTACAAAATATAATAAGTTGGTTTAAACTACAACCACACTACCGTGTTATAGTTCTTATCCCACCTCATCTCAGTGCCTCTATCCAATCTTCTTTTCCCTGTCTGGTCTCTGGTGACTACTGTTTACTACCCTTACCTCCACAGGCTTCTCTGGGTGGTTTTTTCCTTCAGCCAAGAATGTCCCCTTTATTGTGTTAAAATCCTGTTTGTCCCAGTGAGCTGTGGTGGTATCTGCCCATATTCCCAACTACTAGGAAGGTTGAAGGTTGAGCCACAAGGATTGAAAAATTTGAGATTAACTTTAGTAACAGCCAAACCTGTCAGGGCCTTGCTGTGTAGTTCAGGCTATCCTTGAACTCAAGGCGATCTTTCTGCCTCAGCCTTTCAAGTACAGGGATTACAGGTACGCACCATTAAGCCTGGTTCCTGTCTCAAATTTTTTTTTTTTTTTTTTTTAAGGGATGGGATGTATCTCACTGGCAGAGGGATTGTCATTTAAGAGGGCCAGGCACAGTCTCAGCTCTGGGGGGAGAATACAGTTCATGTTCCAAGTGAGCTTTAGATATGATCTGTTAGGGTGGGGATTTTTTTTTTTTGTTGTTGTTGTTGTTGTTTTTGGAGGGGAGGGATGCTTCTTGTAGCACTTTGAAGTTTGTGTTTCTTGAACATCATTTCTTAACCCACATATAACAATATGTTCATTTCTCTCCTTTTCATTATAAATTCCAAAGAGAGCAGAAACTTTGTTTCATTGCCTTACAACATTTGGCAAATGCTGCTCCTTTATGTACTGCCATGATTTTGTCTACTTTCTCAGCTAATGCACTGAGTGCTTGTTATGTTGTAGCCACTGTTGAAGGGATCTGGGATGCAGTAACAGGATTTCAGAAGAAAACTGCAGTTGTTATGTAGCTAACATTCAGTCGGAAGCCTTAGCTTCTCAATGGATATACCAACTTTATAAAATTGTTGTGAAAATGAGACATGGAGTAGACATTCATTCAGTGCTGATTATTTTACAGATATTTTGTGTAAGGACAGTTGAACAGAATTCTAGTAAGCCTACTCAACTTAACCATAGAACTTTATTATCACAATTTAAGTACTTAAACTTGTAAAAATATAAGCAATACTGTTTCTCTTCAGCTAAATTTGTTCTTCCTTTTTGTGTACAGTGGATCCAAACTTCTACAGCAAAAACTTGCTGCTTTTAGGAAAGACATACTTGAAGCTAAACAACAAGAAGCTTGCTTCTCTATGGCTAATGAAAGCCAAGGACTATCCGGCACACACAGAAGAAGATAAACAGGTAAAATATCTCCAGTACAGTAAGGCAGACAAGTTTTCATTGAGGCATTACTAAAGGTGAATTAAGAACTTCTACATGTATAATTGTCTAAATGTGAGTACTGCTGGAAACACAATAGTGTTCATTTCAAATGTGGATATATTCACATTTATCTCTGTATAGGAAATATTTAGTTGTAACAAAATAGTAGGTTGCTTGCTGCAATACAGAATTAGTTGTTTGACATTTATAGATCATGTCAGACTTTTAAAACATAAAATCAAGGTTTGTGTATTAAAGTGTTCTGTGAATCTCATCCAAAAAAATTTATTCTTACAATTTTATTCCCTGTCTTCATTTTTAGAAATGTCTAGAAAGTATAATCCACTTTATAAATGTACATTTCTCAAGTTAATCTCTAAGCCATATTGTTTATTCATAAATGTTTTTCTATTTTAGATTCAGACAGAAGCAGCTCAGTTGCTCACAGGTTTGTGACAAGAACTGAAAACTTTTCAGAGAAGAAACTGAAATACCCAACAAACTGCTTTTCTGTTGAATTACATATAATTAACCTTAAGTCTGTTCTGTGGCTTTTTCCTCAGTTCTTTTAATGTTATGACCATTAAATTGACTAAATATTCAGAACTGAGAAGTCTTGTTTTCCTCACAAAGAAAGTGGCAAGAGAATGCTGTATTGTCCTAACTGTGGTATCCTATAAAGATTCCCATGGCTCAGGCACAAATATTATTTTGCATCTGGGACACCAACACAAAATAGAATGAAATTTTGAAGTACTGATCAGATTAGGAGACGATATCAAGAAATGAAAGTGATATGAAAAAAGAAACAGAGCTTGTGAGAGTGCATTTTTAAGCTAGATTTGATACAGAGTTGAGATCTTGCAGAGAAGGTGCAGTGAAAGGTGACAAGGACGTTCAGGGGTTCTTGGTATAAAGTGATGTGTCTTGGGCCAGGCTGCATGAGGAGAGAACTCAAGTCAGGGGAGGGCTGGAAGTGGAGTGGCTTCTTTGTAAGTGTGGTATAGTCTCACAAGTGCACAGAATTGCTCACCAAATAGTCCAAATTGTATTTCATACTGAGATGAATGAAACAGAATTTAAGGGTAAAATGGAAATTAAGATAATTTAAGGTCAGTGTTACTTTTTGTAGCATTGTGGCTGGGTACAACCACTAAAATTTTAAGCCTTGTAAAAAGGAACCTCTTGCATGCCACTTAGATCCATCTGAGACTGTGTGTAGGTCAGTTTTTCTTCATTTCTGTATTTTGTGGTGGATGGGACTGAACCCAGGGCTTGTGCATGCTAACCATGTTCACCACCAGTGTAATAAAGCTACATCCTCAGCTACATGGGCACATTCTTTCCACAAAGGATTTAAGAATCATAATGCTACAATGGTATGTGCTCTTTCTGTCATATTAAGTCTTCAGGCATTAAAAATGAGCGTTCTATATACCCTTCTGAGATTCAGCAATAGTGTGCACTATTTATCTCTATATTTGTTTTTAAATCTTTCAATTTAATTGCAGATTATGTTACCATGTATCCTCTGTCCTGAGGGTATCTTCCAAAAAACAAACACATTGTCACAACTATAAAATAGCATCTATTAACACCATATTCAAACTCCCTCAAATGTCCTACAATCATAGATCATACATTGCATTTGCTGCCTGGTTAACTTTTTTAATCTTTTTCTGTTCACAGCATCTTTTAGAGACCAGTCCATTTGTCATAGTGATGTTCTCTCATTTCATATTGAATAAGGGTTTTTTTTTTTTTGCTCTGAATGCCCTCAGGCATGGTTTGTCTGGATGGAGTGTTGTGGGAGTTGAACTACAGCAACCTGAGGCTCACAGCTTTGTGGAAGCAGCCACTTAAAGAACTGAGCTATGGCCAGGCCCCCCTCTCATTTCATATTGAGAAGCATTGATCAAGCTTGTTTTTAGAGACTAATTTTTTGTATCTCAGGTAATTTTTTTTTTTTTACTGGAATTGTATTTCTCATTTTTTTGGGTTTCAGTTTCCTATTATTTATATGTCTTCCATATTCATTTTGCTTTTAGTTATATGTATTGTGTAGTTTCTTTTATAATCTTCATTTCTGAGATATGTTCTGATTTTGTCAGCAACCATTTCACACTTTTGCATTTGTGCACTCTGAGTTTTGGAATTTCTAATTCAAGGTTTTGACAGGTCTGCAACTTACTTATATTAACACTTTAGAAAATTTTACTATTGTTTCTTCTCAGTGCTGGGGAGTCAAACAGCCTCATACCTGCTAAGTAAGCACTCTACCCCTACCATCTTTCCTCATTTTCAGTTTTCTCTTTAAGATGACTTTGAACTTTTAATTCATTTTGTTTTATTTTGTTTTCATTAGTATCAGGTAATGAAATAAGAGGAACCTAGGGGCTTGGGTTAGTCCAAAAATAATCTTGGGATAAGGATGTAATTGAATGTTTAGTGTTTACTTAGCACACATTCCCAGGTTCAATCCTTACATTATGCACACAACATATCAGAATACCTGGTAAGTTATCTCTGTGAAAAGAATTTTTCTCAATAATAAAGCATTTTGTGGATGTGGAAATCTATTTTCTGATACTTTTTTTTTTTTTTTTTTTTTTCTTTTTGGTACTAGAATCAAACGCAGGACCTTGCACTTGCAAGGCAGGCACTTGTGCCACTGAGCTTGCTATATCCCCAGCCCTGTTTCCTGATACGTGCACGAACTTTATTTTGAAGTAATTATAGCATCATAAGAAATTGCCCTGAAAAGTGCTGTGGTAACATCTTAAATGCTAGACTGATACTAAACTGGTAACTGAAACAGGCCACAGTCAGACTTTACCACTTTTACATGGTTTTAAGCAGTTCTATCATGTAGACAGGCCTCTTCTGTCACCTTGGAAATCCATAGGTCACAGCCACACTCATCTTTTCTCTCCTCCTGTTGTCCCTTTATCAGCCACTGAATGGCATGCTATGGTTTGAGACTGACCTTTTTCACTCCACGTAATGCACTTTAGACTCACCTAAGTTCTATGAACAGTTTCTTTTAATGTTGAGAGCTATTACATTACATGGACATGCCAGTTTAACCACTGGCATTTAGTTCTCATTTTTGGCTATTAAAAATAAAGCTGCTGATGCATGTGGACACGAAAGTTAAAGTCTAGGCCTAGTAAATTTAGCAAAGTTCTAGAGGGGCTGTAGCGTAGTGGTAGAGTACTCATCCAGCATGTTGTAGACCCTGGATTTAATGCATACTAATGGAAGGAAACAGGCTGTTGGACCACTTTACGTAGATCATCAGCGTCCTGGATCCGTGAGTATGTAACCTTTTGGCTTGCCTGAGCCACAACTAGTGCAGGGTCATTGCTTTGGGCCCTCATATAATGCTAATGCAATTATTAACTGACAAAACTCTTTGTTATCCTTGCACTTTTTCTAACTAACGGGATAGTGGGCCTCAGATATGCTTAGGGATGTGGCTGCTGGGTTCTGTTTAGAGGCTGTCTTCTGTTCCACCCTGAGATACTTAAGTTTCCTTTGGCTGTGTCATACAGCATGAGACACTCTCAAGGATAAGCAGGCCGTTGGAGCCCTGACATTCTCCTTTGTGCATTCCCACCTGAGTCTCCCTTTGTGTATCTCAGAGCACAACATACTAGACATAGGTGATGGATCATTTCTTCTTTATGGATATTTTCTTTGAGAATGTGAAAAAGTAATCTGAATAGTGGTCATAATCCTATAAAAACCTGAAAACTGAGACAGTCTATAGCTTAGGCTTCCACTCACTACATGGCCTCAAACCCTTGGTGATCCTGCCTCAGCCTCCCGAGTGCTGGGATAATGGGCATGCACTACCATGCCATGGTTTCTTCCTGTTGGTAGAATTTACCAACTTAATTATGGAGTATGGAACTAATTATGGACATTTTTAAAATGATTTCTCAGACTCTTCTCACCAATAAGCACTGCTAAAACAAAAGGCACCATCTCATGGAGTTTTTACATCATATAAAAGATGTTAAGTGTTAGTACTTTTAAAAACATCAAATTGTATTTGTGGTTGAGACCTGACAGAGAAATTCTGGGATTCAGGAAATGTAACTTTTGGACTTAGACTAAATCCCCATTAGAGTTCAGGCATGGCCCCTAAATTTAACAGATTAAGGAAAGTGGGGAGTGTTGGAGAACTTTTATTTTCCCCTCCATATATTTCAACAGATTTGTTTTCAGGTTGTTCCACATTCAGACATTAGCATTCAGCAGACCTGCAACAGGTGTTAGCAAGGTACTGGTTTAGTCAGCAATCTAGTAAGAACTGTAACTGGCCGGTGGAGCAATGCTGGGCCTCCTTCGGAAGATGTTTTGTCACAGCACTTTACGAGCTTCTGCAAACCATCATCCCCTCAAGTGACAAGTCCTCATGAGGGATCGGCAATTCCAGGTTTCACCCTCACAGAAACCCAAAGCTTCCTATTCTGTATCTGCAGTTTTCTCTGTCCAGATAGAGCTTAGCACTCAGTCATTTTAAGCAGGAGTGAAGCTGCCTGACAACAGAGCTGACACGTACCATCCTACATGGTTTTCAGGGTAATGGGACACAGGTACTGAAGTCAGCAGGGGGAAATGGTGAAATTTTCACTTTTAACTTAAAGAAGTAAAGAAAAAACATCAAGTACTGGTAGGTTCTTTTTCTGGCAGACAGACAAAAACTAATGGGACTGGTGAAAATGTGTCCCAACCTTCTTTTACTGATGGTGGAGGTAGTGTCACCAAAATGAAGTAGAAATGTGAACCCATCTTTGACTCTTCCTCTTGTCTACTGTTTGCTCATGAACTGTGTCCAGGCACAGTGAGCCTCGTACTTCCACTTTCCCTTTGGCTGTTCCAGCTTAGATCAGTTAGGAGGTGGAGGAAGGAAAGAGTAGTGGGTCACATTTTTCTAGCTGTTCTGCCAATGAGTAGATAAGATAGCTTTGTATTTTTCTTGTATTTACAGCAGGGTGTGAAATGGGGTCTCCAAATTAAGTCTTTTTGTAAGCTGCTGTGGTCTCGTGTGCACTCTCTGAAGCCTCTCTGGCACATGGTAATTTCTTACTAGGACTAGCCCCCTGAACCTCTATCCCTGCCTGTCCAATCTGCTAACTTATGTTCTCTTGCACTGCCACTGAATGACAGTAAATTCTTTGTAACAGAATTTGTCTGACATTGTTCCTGATGAACAGTGGTTAGCCTCTACTGTGTAACCTAACATACACATTTAAAAACAAACAAAAAATTAGGCTTAAAAATAACCAGAATGTTTGTAGTTAGGATTTGGGAAAGGAGTCTCATCAACTAACTGTCACTGCCTTTATTTCGTATTTACTATGGGTTTTAAGTACAAATTCAAAACACAGTCCAATATGTAGAAAAATAAAATCTTGGCAAAGCAAAAAGCTAGTCTTTATGGAAGTTAGACTGTATATTAGTATTTTCCATATGTACTGAGTGGTGGAATATTTACAGGTAACAACCCTGAAAAGTCAGTTCCATATTTATAAAAAGTGTTAAGTTAATGAAATTTACAGTGCATACTGGAAAGCATGATTAAAACTGGAAATTAAAATTCCTGTATTAGGAAGCCTAGTTTGCTAAGAGCATTATATTATTCACATCAAATTTTTATTTGTTTTATACATTTTTGTAGTTCAAAAATGCCCTTTATAATGAAATACAAAGTACTGTTATGATAAAAATAAATTGATCTATGTAAAAGGGGGTTTACGCTTTTTCAGATACACAGAATTTCCATGAATTTAAATTGAGTGAAGACATTTAAACACAAATGGAAAATCATTAGTTTCCAGTTTTAGTGTTCAAATGTTTTTGTAACTCTTTTCAATCCATCTGTTTTATTTATTTGGTTTTATAAAACCAAACGTTGAACACGAACAAAAATGGTAAACTTTGCATTACCTTTTAAATGTTTTCAAGTATCAAACTATATCAATTTATTGTGAATTAAAGAATCACAGATCTTAACAGCCAATTCTTTTTAATTTCACAAGTAACTATCATCCCAAAGTAATGTGAACAAAACCTCTCTGCTGCTCAATGAATTGTTTCCAACCTCCATAACAAACTAAATTTTATTAAATCTAGCATATGATTTCCATGTAAGTTACAGTTTCACTCATTACTCTTACTATATTACTGATGTAGCGAAGAGGGAAATTTTTCACTATTGTATTTATTTAAAACAAACTGACAGGGTTAAGTACCTGTCTTCAGAAAAGTCAGCAGCATTTTTAATACACTTGAGATTTGGCCCAAGCCCTTAATACCTTCCTGATAGCCATGCAACTAAACACCCTCTGGAGATGTTGCATAAGGGAGAAGAACATGGAGCAATTTTTGCACATTTCCCCTGGGTCACAGAAACAAGGTAAAGCAAATTCAGATCTTTGTGAATGAACAGCTGTCATGTTTAATACACCTGAAGCTCTATAAAACTAGAGCCACTATCATATATGCTTTTATAGATATATACTTTTTAATAAAGTCTCTTGCTTCAAAATTTAAGGATGATCTTTTTCCTGGTCGTCATTTCAAGGGAACAATAAATAAAGTAGAAAACGATGAACTGTTTTGCATATTTCTGTGGAAGAACGGAAAACGTTTTTGCTTTGAGAGGTTAAGACAATTCACTGTACAGAATGAACAGCTTATATACACTATGCGCAATTTTTCTTGGCTGGGGTATTTAAATTCAAGCGCTCCTCCAAGACAAAAAGCCACATTCACTCTTGTCCAAATCCCTCTGTCTCTTCTATTGCAAAAAGAAGTTTTTCCTTTAGTTGTTCGTAACTCTTATATGGTGGTAGATCCAAGCGATTAAAACTGAACAAAAGCAAAAACAAAATCAGATGTTTTCAGTAAAATGAAATGAAAGACTTGTAACTTTTGGATATAAAATTCTTAGCTCCCAAATAAGTAGTTAGAAAATGGAGATGTATTCTAGGTATTTATAAATAACTAGATAAAGTTCTTTGACACCATTAAGTCTCACTAAGTTATACACAATATAGGTTCTGAAATCATCCGTGCACAGCTTGCCTTCTTATAAACCCACTGATCTGTTGTACTCTGGGCATATCTTTACGCGTGACACTGTACCATCAGTCACTGATCAGTGGGAACTGTTGATTCACAAAGTTATATTTCTAAATGTTGATATATTTAGTTATAAAATCAAGAAAACACATTTATTAACATCATTAATCTTATCAATAAAATCTTGGGAAGTGGTCAAGCTCAGGGTGGCACGTAAAAATTTTCCAAAATCAGCATTTTTGCTTGAAACTGACTTTCATCATTGTCAATAAATTTCAACTGTTTTCTTTGAAGTGACATGACAGGCTTACTTCACTACAAGAAAATGCCAAATACTTAACTGAATAGTTCGTTACTCTTTCAAGTTAATGTTAGAAAAGATGTGATCTCGGTTTTTTGGGGTTTTTTTGTATTTTAGGGAAGGTTCTACAGGGTGTGCAGGGTCTCATTACTAGAACAAACTCGCAGTGATCTGCCTGTTACAGCCTCCCAAGAGCTGGGATTACAGGCCCATGCCACCATGGCAGGCCCAGGATCGAACACCCAGCCTATCCGCTGAGCTATTTGGCCAGGCCTGAAAAGATGTGTTCTCAAGCATGAAGATTTAATAAATAACTTTTAGTGTTTCATACAGAATAATCTTCAGTGAATCTGTTGTGTTGCTTTGTTTTTTACTTTAAGCTGCAAGTATATCGCAGTAGCTTGGTGGCCCTGCCCTGATTTCTGTAAAGGCAGCAGCAAATTTTTACTCATTGTTGCTATTGCATGATAAAAACAACTGTGGAAGTAATAAAAAGCCAAATAATGGCCTAGGATGAAAATAGTTTGACTTTCTGAAAGAACCATGAATCTCTTAAGTTATCATCGCCTGTCTGGGTAATACAGTGTTTCTGCAACTAATCAGGATTGACCCAGTTCTCTCTCTATACTGTTGCCAGAATACTTTTTTGGATCCCATTGTTTTCTACATAAAACTATTCAAAGTGTTTGTTATTTTCCTTAAAAATGAAATCCCAGTTCTCTACATAAGTTTAGTTCCTACATACATTTCCAAATTCATCTCCCCCGATTCAAAAGTTCTAATCATATCTTCCATTTCCTTGAAAAATTATTTCAGTGTTTTTGTTTAATTTAGCATTTCTGTTCAAAGAATATTCTTCCCACAAGCTATTTGTTAAATACAACCTGTTCTAAGAAATCTGAGCACCCAGGGCTCCAGCTGTTCTCCAGTACAACACTCTTTCCAGTTACTTAATTGTCTAGGTCCCTTACTACTGAATTGAAAGTTGATAAAAGGCAAGGAGCAACTTGGTCTCATTTCATACACCGTGGGTATTCTACATCTTGACTGACTCAATGGATATAGGTTGTGTTTCTATGACTAAGAATTCATCCTGAAGTGTTTACAGAATACTAAGTTGATTGGTCTGTTTCAAGATTTAAATTCTGACTACCTTAATGATTAAACAGTTATACTGAATCTTAACATATTTTTTTAAAAACAAAAGATTTTTTCTAGTGTTCACTTTCCTACTTAACAGTTTAAAACTTACCACGTATGGCTTCTTGGTAACCAGGTGTCTTTGCCAACTTTTTCAATACAAAATTTTTGAGGCCCATTACTTCCTAAAGGAGGAAAATACGATAATCTTTATCAGATCATTTTAACTTTTGGTTTTGATAGCTAAATAACAGAGTGTCACAAAATCATATGAATGATCCTAAATAAAGAACTTCACAACAGAGAAGCTACTTAGTGCTGCATAAATCCCAGTAAAGAAGAATATCTGGAACTGCTTGCTTGGCAAGCACAGGGTCCCAAGTTCAATCTCTGGGATTGTTAAGGGAAAAAAAAAAAGACATCTGTGGAAAGACAACTATAGTACTACAGAAGCTTTTTTTCTTTACAGTCACTTAGGAACCAGAGCCCTCTAGCTACATGAAGAGACTCCTTTTGGCTGAACAGATGCCTTTGATATTAACCGTTACTGTTTCTTACGGTAGAAGCCTTATACAGAGCCCAGAATAATAATAGGTCGAGTCTACTGAGTGTCTAAAGGTCATTAGCACAAAACTATCTACACAGAAACTGTAATGAGAGACTGCACTTACCCATGAGCTCGGCAAATCCTCCGAGAGGTAAACGGCAGGTTCCAGTGACAAACTGCAGCAGTCGCATTCTCACCTCATTGTCTGTCTCTTTCACAAACTACAATAAAACCAAATGTATTTTAATACAACATACATGCTACATTCTCATAACAAAAACAGACAGTAGAATAAAATAATATTTAATGCTAACATTGGTTCAAAAGCTGTGTGACAAATAGCATGTATCATTTCTTCGGGATAGGCACTATGCTAAACACACTGTGACTCTTTGGTTAATCCTCACAATACCACCTTGTGGGCCAATGCTGTCATTACTTACCAAAGAGAAAATGAATGACGGGCTTACAAAGGGCAAATCCTTTGTCTAAGGTCAGAGCTCTAGACTGGCAACCAGGATAAAAGTCACCTACATAACAGATGTCACCTACTTAAGACTTCTGAAAAGCATTGTGCCATTTGCTTCTCCTTTAGCTTGCACAATTCTATGATAGTTATGATCATGGGTATTGCCATTGTACATGTAAGAAAACAAGCCTATACACAGTGTTACCTCTGTTCACAAACAATTTTTCCACAATTTTGGGAAAGTGGCCATATTGTGTTTATTGTAGAAAGACGGCTGAGATTGTGTCAACTACAGCAGAGTTTGCGAACCACAAAATTGTGCCAAATGCTTTTTGCAAACCAAATTGTTACAAACAAAAGCATTCATGAACCGAAGCACTGGGCTGGCCAGATAGCTCAGCAGACCAAAGTGCCTACTTAAGCAGGTGAAGGGACTGGGACACACTGAGCAGGAATGGTGGTGCATGCCTACCATCCCAATGCTTGGGAGAATGAAAACAGGAGGATCAATGAGTCCAATCTGTGTGTGAGACCCTGTACTAAAATACATTAAAAAAAAAAACATATATATATATATATATGAACCGAAGCACCACTGTACTATAGTTTAAACAATGCAGTTTGTCCTTCACAAGCTGCTGTTAAGTGGCAAAACATAGGAAGTCAGACCTGGTTGGCCTCTGAACCACTGTTACACTTTTTGGAGTCAGTGATGACTTCTCTGTTGTCAGTCTCCATGATTCATATTTTTTTCTCACTGAATATTTTTATGGGGTTTTTTTAGGCTTGAACAATGGATTTACTCCCCCCACTCTGAATTTAACAAGTAATACAAGGGTACATAATGTGAGAAGCAGCCTTCCCCGCTTGGCCTCCAACCGCTCAGCTCACTTGCAGAACTGCTGCCAAGTATTTTTCCTTTTGCTTTTTCAGAAGTGGTATATTCATATGTAAGTATACACTTCCATTTTAAAGAATTTTATAGTAGTCCTATCCTGGAGGCCATTCAGATTGCTTCAAGTTTCAGTAAACCAACATTACATTATTTTCTTGGCATGTGTCATTTTACATGTTTTGAAGTAGAGTGTATTTTAAGACGGACTTCTATAAAATATTACACAATAAACTAATGACAGTATCCTTAAGAGAAGACCTAACTTTTGGAAATACATGTACACAGTCATACTTGGTTGTCAAACTCAATTCATTAAAAATCTGTGTCCAAACATCACAAAGTTTAAGAACTGAATATATTTTTCCCATAAGAAATAATGAAAAACCAAATAATTGATTTTGAGGCCCCCAAATTACACGTACAAAAATACTTTACCAGAACATGAACAAAATTTGAATGATTCTTTTCTCTAACTGTTATGCTTCACAGTTCTCCTCTTAGCTTGCTGCTGGTATTGCTAACTTTCTTTGGAGCCATGGTAACAACAGTTTATGTGAATAAAGTGCAAAATATAAAAAGCCACTAACAAAGGATCTATAAACTGCAGTACTTTGAGGGTAAATCCTGAGGGGATTTGACTGACATTGTCAGATACAAAAGTTACATTTCTTATTATATAGGTCTTGCTTTATCTTGGTCTTAATCCAGCAGAAAAGTATAAAAACAAGGTATAGAAAGTAAAGCCATATTAATATGCTGAGCTGTAAAAGGCGCAAGTCAACAACTTCTGATATTGCCAGTCCTACGGATAACCCACTACTATTATAGACTACTGGACTATCTATATTGGGAATATTTTGCTGAATTCACGCACCTAAAATATTTAAATGGCAATGGAATACCCATCTCTGACAAAACTAAACAAAAAAAGGGGATACAAATGAAGGACCATTTGTATCTGTATATACAAAATAAGATAGATATACAGCTCCTTTCTCCTAGTTCAATGAGAAGAATTGTAGTAATAGTGTTTGGACACGATATCATGCCTGCATCTTGTACTATGAATAACCACTACAAAGACAACAATATGTAATGTATTAATTATTGAAACTGTCCTATTAATCGGTTTTGAAACTGTCTCATTGCTTTTTGTTTCTCAATAAAATTAATGAAAAAAAAGGAAAAAAAATATCAAAAACACAACGGTGAATGTTCTGACACACTAAAAGAAGCACTCTATGCTGTCGAGGTGAGCGGGGTGCTTACACTGAAGCATCACCCTTTGTCCCTAGCAAAACACAAAACCTAGCTCACTCTCAGCCCTACAGGTGTGTTCAAGTTGAGTTTTTGGTTACACAATTGAGCAAAATTATGAAAACCAAGCAGTTTTTTTCCAAACTTCGCTGGTTCAAATAGTAGAAAAGTTCAAGCGTGGAGCTGTTTGAGAACTATGGTATCACTCTATAACCCTAGTTTTCATGTGAAAGAAAAACAGCTAAGAAGAAGTACACCAAAAATCCATACATTGAGTTGTTCAAATGAGTCTCAGAGTAGTTATGTGAAAAACTGAAGACTATTCCGGGACTACAGGTTTTTTTTATTTTTATTTTTTTAATTGATACTGGAAATTAAGCTTGAGGGGGGGTCTTCAAACTAAACTGTATCTCCCATCCAAGTACTAACCAGACCTGACCCTGCTTAGCTTACGAGATCGGGTGTGTTCAGGGTGGTATGGCCGTAGACACTCAACCGTATCTCTACCCCTTTTTACTATTTTATTTTTTCATTTTTATCTTGAGACAAGGTCTCACTACATTGGCCAGGCTCAGATCAAACTTGCACTCCTTCCTGAATGCTTGCACTCTAAGTATGTTCCACCATGCCAACCTGAAATACTTTGGTTACTGCTACATTAAAAAGCTGGCCCTAAAACTATTACCATTAAGTGAATGCTTGCATACGACTGTCATTTCTTTCAAAAAGACAAAGATCCAAAGGAAAATACCTTTAACAAGTGTTCATGCTACTCACTGCATAGTTAGAATTGGAAGATGAAAAGCCAAGCCCAAAAACTTGGTAATTTGAAGGGAAAAAAAAAAAAAAAAGTTTTCAAACCACATTTCATTCAAGAATGTTTTCTTTGTATATTATGTTTCAAAAAGATAAAGCAAGTACCTGCCAAAACCAAATTATTTGTTTGCTGTTTCTTGTATAATGTCGATAAACGGTATTCCTTTGCCAATCCGCTAAGTCCACCTCCTGCATGCCACACAGCATAACCTGGAAAATGAGCAGAGTTCTCAGGCCACACTGAACATGCGGTGAACAGACCAAGGCAGGACTGAAGTTTTCTGGGCACAGTTAGTTCACGGCATGACGATGTGAGCAGCTATGTTCATGGCAAATAGAGCACAGTAAGCAAATCCAGCTGCATTTGCGCGAACAGCCTCAAGGACCCTTTGCTGTTTTACTTTACCATCTTCGTGGAACACAAGCTGAAAAGAGTACTCTTCATGAAAATTTACTCAAAAACATACCTACTTTTAGATATATAAATATATATGTATGTATATACATACGCATATCCTG